AATGGTTATTTGAACATTCTTCACTGCTTCTCAGCTGAAGCATCTTGTATATTCTATAAAATCTCTACTATTTCAACAATTGTGCTCGCAACATGAACACCTTCAACTAAGAAAGACAATCTTCATACTAGATTAGGGGGTAGAAAAAATAATGAGCCACGGATGATAGCTATAAGTTATAATTCTCTGCTTTGACCAGAGGGAGAGAATGAATTAATTCTTACAGGAAAGGCAGTATAATTTTTTTTTTCTTTTTCAGTTTATTCTATACTTCAGTCTTCCTTTTTTGGGGACTGTTATTCTTCAATGTCAGCATCTGTCTGAAAATGAGTATTTTTAGACCTTTGTGCTGAGGAGAATTTTTTTTTTTCCAGCGTAAGAGTTAATGGCTGAATACTGACATAATATGACAAAAGCTGTGCTGGATTTTAAGAGATCATTAAAGGAAAAAAGTATCACTTTTTCACTTTCTACCCTATCAGTATTTTTTTCCCCAAATACTTCTCAGGTTTACACAGCAGATAAACTTAAAGAGTTTTTTACTGAAGCATGAATAGCTAGTTCAGCTGTGTGAATAAATAATAGTTTAGAGAATCAAATAATCATGAAAATGTCATGGAAAAAGAAGACTCCTAGGTCTGAAACTGAATTAGCTTCTGGTTTAGCAATTCTATCCCTCCACAGCTCAGAAATGATATTGTGTATGTTCATGCAGATAAATTTGGATATATAATTAGCTGTTTTGTCTCTTCATTTACACATAGAAGGGCTTTCCTACTGGTTACTGAAACAAACATTTATGTGTGAATTTGAAGAAATGAAATGGAAATTATCTCACAGAGGCTGTGGAATCTCCATCCTTGGAGACACTTAGACCTTGATTGGACATGACTTTCACCAACCTGCTCTGAGTGGTCCACATTTTACAGCGCTGTATTAGCTCTGTACCACCCAGGACAGTGAGAACACACATTATTACCCTTGGGAAAATTAGGGTAGTGGGTCAACTGAGGGAAATTAAACATCAGACAGTGTTAGAGACAGATACTTTGATTCTGAGCTTACATGTCCCTCCCTCACATGCACCTCCAGGCATTCCCACCACCCCCTGAATGAACCCTGCATCTCTGCAGGCTCTGGAGCAGCAGACTCCCTGTGAGCTCTTTGCTCAGTGATCCATTTACAGGATGTGTCAAGGACAGTCTCTGGAGGAGAGAAAAAGGTTCCTGACACTCAGCTGGGATTCATCCTGTCCAAATTGGGATATTTACAGTGTGGATACCTACAGTTGAGGTAGTCCCTCCAAAATCTCCCCAGTTAACAAGAAATGGAAACTTCCAGGTTCTCACCCAAAGGGAACTGAGACAAACTGGATAATGCAAACCTGGAGTCAGGTAAAAGCTACCCCAGCCCAAATCCTTGTGTTATGAAATGCTACAGGTGCCTGCCTTTAAAACACTATGAAGTAGTACTGGTACCTGTCTTTAAAACAGAAAAAGTATCCTAAGCAAGTGAAATGAAAATAAAGTGAATAATTAATTAACTAAATAGAGGTGATTAAAGTAAATAAAGGAAACAATTATCATATCAAAATAAAAGACAAGAAAGATGATTAAATGAGTCTTCAAAAGACCCATGAGAAACTCATGAAAGACATAATATGCCTTTACCTGGTTTTTAGTCTTTCATGATTTCATTTTAATTTTTATTCACTACCATCTGATAATTGCAAGAAACAGTTACTTTAACCATAGGCAATTTAAACCATTTAATTTTTTTTCCAGGGCCAAGAGACAAAAGAACCTATTTATTGCCCGAGGGGATTTTTACTAAAATGAAAGCTTAATCTTTCATGTTTTTTTAAGCAAAGGCTTTTAAAAAATCATTTCTAACAATGCTGTAGGGAGACACTTCCATGGGTATGCAAAATTGAAATTATAAATTTACAATTATAAAAAAATTAATAGTTTGGGGGATTGTATTGTCTCTGTTCTTTCTGAATGAATACTCTTTCAAGCTTAAGAGAAAGTATTTAGCACATGGAGGAGAACGAATGTCCTTAGACTCTCTTGCGGTCAAAGCTGTTTAGTCAGAACGTATGGAAGAAAAATAATTGGAGTTTAATTTGTTTGGAAATCCTCAAATATCAGCTGTCCCATTGGCTTCTCCCTTCCTGGCCTGTTTTTCTGTGTTGTCAATGCACTGAAGTTGGTCTGACCACTATCTACTCTGCACTGATGGTTGCTAAATCTTATTGATGTAAAATTAAGCTTCAAGGTGAATTTTAACTGAAACAACCATCTTTTGGGGCTCTAATGACACATGTTTATAAAGGACAGAACAAGAGATCTTGGTCAAAGATTGATTCAGGGGGGATTTTCAGGGGAGATATATCTGGATAGAAATATGGATATGATTTATGTGGCTGCCATGGTTCAAGGCATACTGGAAGTACACACTTATGCCCATCTCCATTCTGTGAAGGATTTTGCCTTTAACAACATCAAGAAAAGGATTAAATTTAAGCATCTACCTTTGCACTGCCACAAATGTGGGCTGTTTTCTCAACTAAAAAATATTAATTTAATGCATTATCTGGAGAGATGCAAACATTTCTTACTGGGCTTAGTGCAGGCTTTGAAATCAGACAAAATAATTTACACTTATGAAACACAACAAGCTGAAGTGTTCTATTAAAGGAAAACTAGACCAAAAAAATACCCTTAAGGCCTCCAAACATCCACACATTGAAAGGCAGATTTAAATGTTTTCTGCCAACATATTTTAAGTTTGAGTGCAAACACTTTGAGCTACTATGAAAAGCTTTATCAAACTAAATTCATTTTCCATGGAGCAGAGAAGAATCATTGAAGATATTATTCAGGTTTACAAAACATGTAATAGGGTGGAGAATGTGGAACCAGATAAGGAAGGTTAAACTGAAGAACACTTTAACAAAGCTTGATTTTAGGTTGGTTGTGCAACATAAATAGGTCAGTGGACTTATTAGAGATTTTTCAAGCTGTCTAATATTAGAAACACCTGTGTACAGGTGCCACCTATAAGACTTTCAAAGGCAACTGATATTCTGAAGACACTATCTGAAAGGCTAAATACCCAGAATTTTTTGAAAATAACACAAGTTCAATGTGTTAGCCAAAATCACTAACCTCTTTGGAAAAACCCTTGATATCTGCTCTACAATACCACCCAGAGCAATAGGAAGCTCTAGTTACCTCAAAGACATATCTGCCCAGCCCAGTGGAAGCACCTGTCTGCCACGGGCCTCTGCAGACCTGGACATCAGATAAAGCAACTCCCAGGTACTCAAGGAGCCTCAAGATCAGGTTAAAAGGGAACAGCAAGTCAGACAGGCTGGGTAAGAAGACTGTGTTGGACAGGGGAGGAGAGAAATGTGGCCTTTAAGGTTGAATCCAAGTTCTGTGTGTACATGGCAAAACAAAGTGTGCAATGGGAACATTCTGGTGCCACTGTGCTGCAGAGCAGCAAATAAAAAGGGAGTTAATTTCCAGCCCCTCTGCACCGCAGTGCAGTGCACTGAGCTGCCCTGGGAACTCTTGTCAGTATAGGTCAAGATCTGTTGTGTGTGTCTTGGGAGGACAAGGCTGCTCAGACATTTATCAGCTAAACTGCAGAGATATCACAGAGCATGCATGAAATGCAACATTTCTGCTTCTATAAATGGATGGAATTTGGACAGGTGTTAACAGTGCAGAGGGAAGAGATTGCTCAGGTTTAAAAAGAGCACATCAGCAAGCCAAAATTATTTTCCATCAACCTGCTTCTCAGAGATGTTGCTAATGAATATTATTTTTAGGTCAAGATGATGCTCATGCCAGAAACAGGAGAAATTCACACAGATTTAGTACTAGCCAAGCTTCTTTCCATTTAACCTCTGTCCCAAACAAACAATAAAACTGTAATATAATGGGAGCCCTGGCCAGCACTAAGACCCAGCACCACACTCAGTCCCATTTATTTTTTGCAGTGAAGACTGTTTTCCTTACTGATGAGCTCAGTCTGCCATGAATTACTTTTTCATGGGGGATAAATATACACTTAAACAAGATTAAACACAAATGTTCTTTAGTGGTGTCTAAAATAATATGAATGTTTTTTAGAACAGCAATAAACACACTTCATGATGCAAATAATTACACCCTGCAGCCTTTATGTAACAATAAGTGGCCAAATTTTCTACTCAGCTACATCACTGTAAACCCAGAGTAACTACTGTGAATCACCATCTCTCTCTGTGGATTCTGGAGATTCTGAAGTGTTACCTAAGCCTGAATTTGCCCCAGTTTCTCTCTAGGGTTTTGGAGACATCAGACATGCATATCTGGAAATCCACATGGTGGTCATGGAGGCATTTCCACCTCTTACCCTGTCTCTTTTGCCCCCATAATGAAGTCAGAATCTGGCTGTGTATTCCCTGTGCATCTGATATCACTTCTGTAACTGTGTACTCAGGACCAGAAGAAAGCTCAATTGAGATCCAGCAAGAGAAAGGGGAATAAAAAAAAGTACTTCAGAAAAATTCATGAAGGGTAAAGGCAATACTTGCATGTGATGGGAATCAAAGATCAGTATCTTGGGGATTAAAAAGAACCACCTCAGCTGATTTTACTTTGGATGGGAAGAATTTGGTCATGTTCTGAATTCTTTGTGAAAAGTTAATTTTATCTTAAGTTTCCCATGCAATTGTAATTTTCACGCAGAGTTTTTTAAGATGGGTCTGTTAGGCTTTAATGGCCCCTGAAATGAATCTGGAAAGGCAAACATGCCCACACTGGACCACTTGAAAATGCAGTTATTTGCTTGAAAATAACACCAACAAAGATGTATTCAGCTGTTAAAGGTTCTTCACAATTTACATGAGCACGGACCTCATGACACAACATGGAATCAGTGTTTTAACTACCACCTTGCCCTTGACTGCCATGTTTGTGTGTTGGAAGCAGGCACTCTGCTCTTACCAGGACTTGTGAGGGCTCCCAGAGCACCAGTCGTTGTGGAGAGAGGGTTTGCATTGGTGGTGGTAGCTGAGGTCTGGGCGGCGGCTGCTGCGGCTGCTAAAGTTGCCAAATTCTGTAATTGTAAAGCGTTCATGCCTATGTGGAGAAGCAATAGGGTTAATTAAAACAGGTAATCATCATCATAACATAATCGTCAAAAAGTGCTGTTTTCAATGGTCATGGAGCTTGGCATGTGCCTTGGCAATAAACTCAATTCTTTTCATTCCCAAGACATCTATAACCTCAATCCACCTCTTGCAGTTCCTGAAGAGTATTTCTCATCTCTCTACCTTGCAGTGGAGAGAATGCACCAAAGACACCAGCCTATACTTCAGGAAAATTAAACCTGGTTTGTGCCTCTTCTTAGGGAAGTGTAGAATTAAAAGTCATTTAAACCCTGCGTGAAGCCCAGGCACAATATTATTTCCTGACACAACAGGGGATATAAAGAAGATAACTAGCATTTAAAACACATTCAGGACAGGGTCATATAATTGGGATGAATAAAATTTGTTTCCCATGTTTCCCAGTTTGAATGCCTAGAAACTTGTCTGATTTTTTCTGAATGTTAGTTTGCCCACAAGAGATATTATTTCGCCCTGCACACTTTGTATTTCAAACAGAGGAGCTTAACAACAACTTGGACAAAATGAAAAAAAAAAGAGAGTTTAAATACAATACTTGGGAAGTATGTTTGAGAAGAAAAAAAATGCAATGAAGGAGAGGTGCTGTCTAGGAATTCAGAACTCCTGCAATAATGGAGAGTGATATTATTTTCAAACATAGATATTGCAGACTCCGGTTAGTACAACCAATAATTTCCATAAAGAGGAATTCTTACTGTCACAGCATTAGGGACTGTGAAATAAACCTTCATATAAACATCTACTTCTGAATAAAGCCACAAATTTAAATACAGCATGTTCCAACAGGCAGGTCAGGTCTCAGGGGAGCATCTAATTTGACTGAGGTTCTAATGTGGGTGTCTCAGTCAATGTCCAAATTCAGTTCAGATGCTGGTGTTTCTGAAAATGTGACACTGTTGCAATGGTGGGAGTTAAGATTTTAGTTTATCCAAGATACACCAATTCATAGTCTGGAACTGGAACAAGACACTTGGAGAAATTACATGACCAAACCTCTTTAAGGTTTCTTTTAAAGGCTAAAGACCATCTTAAAAAATAAGGCTTTTCTCTAACATTACTAATTCAAACTATTTTGCAAGACACAGTTCACATGTATGCAAACAATATTGTTTTTATTTTTTAAAACTACTCATCTGACTTACTGGCTTGTTTTGGGTGTACGTAATTTTTTTCCCCCACCAAAGAATTATCTTCCTTTGATAATAAGACTGCAGACTATTTCAAACAAGATTTTGGGGATGGAAAAGCTTGGGACCCAAATCTTTGTGAACAAAGCAGTCAGTAACCCTCAAAATGAGATATGGAATTCATTTTTATCCTGGACTGATACTGGTCCTTAATTATAATTTACCTTCCTATTCCATGAGGAGAATAGGTAATTCAGCAAAGAATATCCAGCAAACATTGCTGATCTTCACTGAGGCTGTATTATTGTGCCATCCTGTAACAAGGGTTTGGGAAAGCAGTGGGTTGCTCTCCTCCAGAGGAATGGCTTTCTATCACCCACTGCTTAGTTATTCATCAAAAGGATCACTCATAACCAGCTTATATTTCTTCTGTGTGAGGAAGAAGAAATAAGGAAGAAGTCCAAGTTCCTTTGGACTTTTAAATGGTATACATGTTAGGATTAAATAATTGTGATGAATTCAGAATGATTCTAGAGGACAGCCTAGGCCAGACAAGGTCAACAGGCAGCAGAGCAAACAACTGCTCTCTCTGCACTCATGAATCACCCTTGCACTTCTATGGATGCAAAGCAAATACCATCATTGCCTTATTCCACAAAAAACTTATTTTTTTTTAAACAAGCACAGGAGGAACCCATCAATTTGGCAAATGAGTTTCAATGCCCAAAGAAGATAAATGAACAAGAGCTTGGTGCTGATGAAGTTGTTTCCTCACCCAATTTGTTGTACTGTAGCAGTGAGTGTAAGACACTGGCCACAAAACAGCCTGCAGGTGTTATAGGGTGTCAGCTTTGGTGTCTGCAGGAGAAAAACCTGCTGGCTGTTGTCACACCTGAGTAAGGGAAGGACAGCAAAGACCCCCACTGAACTGAGCACCCAAATGTGAGTGTTAGCAAGGGCTCACAGCACATTGTCACCAAGCAGGCTCTAGAGCCCATTCTGTCAGCAGTTTTATCATTTAATATGCATCTTCTTTAGGATCCTCTGTCTGCTCAAACATTTGAAAAATAAGTCCTGTCATCACTGTTTCACATTCCCCATGCATTTTACCATCTCTGCTCCCTCTTTATTAGTTTCTCCCATCATTGTCAGGAATGTCAACATCCCATTCGCTTGGAAAAATTTGGAGGAGGGAAACCAAATGCTCTGGAGTCCAACCCCAAAAGAACTTTACTTTCAAATGAGGGTTTTTGGTTCAGTTGAACCTCAGCTAAGGTACAGTTCTGCAGTTCTGTGGGATGAATCTGCTCTCTCATTCTCTCCCCTTTCACACACACTCTTCACACATTTCACATCCTACAGTTTTTTTTCAAAACAGTCCCAAATCCCGCAACAGAACTGGACAGCAAATGAGTAGATGGATTTTATTTGAAAGTGCTGCTCACTCAGCAAATGCACCTCTCTCTGAAGAAATGCAAATTGCTTAACGCTGAGGAACAGCCTCATAGGCAGAGCTGCACATGAAAAATGAATATCTTCCTGTAGAGGAATAATAAGCCCCTTCTGGGTAAGGAATAACTCTTGATCTTCATGATGGAGACAATGTAGGGAATTAAAGGGAAATGATTAAAAAACCCAGATTCACAATACAGTTTGATTCCATTTTTAATAACATGTATTTACCAATGTGCTATCAGCTTGGCAAATATTCAAGATCGCAAAGAAATTCGACTTTCATTTTGTTATTTGGCAGATTAAAAAAACAATTAAATTATGTACAAAACAGATGCACAGTATGCCTTGCTTGAAACTTAAGATTTTTTAAAAAATTATTTATAAGGATAGGGGCATGAAAATTTAATTTAATGTTCACCTTAGGTAATTTTGTGTCTTATTGTTCACAGCAATTACCATAAATCTACATATCAATAAGCGAGAACAGATGTCAGTTGTTACAAGTGCTTGCCAATCAGGCCTGTTAAAAAGTGACAGATGGATGGTGATAGAACATTCTCATAAGGCCTATTAGCACATTCACAGGAAATTTTTGTAGTGCTGCACAGTCACAGATGCAGTTCTGTGAAAACACGGGGAAATTTGAGAGCACGAGATTTACATTTTACAACTTCTTGTGCTGCCTCTGACACAAACTTTCATACAATGAAGTAATTTGCCTCGTTTCAGTCACTGCAGCTTTTCTCCTGTGATAACTGTAAATTTGGAATTATTGGGTATTTGTAGAGGAGGGAAGGGAGTCACAAGCCGTTCCTCAAGATTTCTTAGGCCTCATCAGCTCTTGGGTTTCTAAAACCATAATAAAATCATATTAGAAAATAGCTGAGATTTGCTTACTGCACAAATTAAAAAAAAAAAAAAGCTACATTGAGTGGCACAGTATGCATGGAGAGTTTCAAAGTCAGTAGTGATTATCAGAACCAAATCTGATCGCTCATAAGCAGTTCCCACTGACTTGACTTCCTTTGCTTTGGAAATTTTATCCTTCTCAATTATTAGGATTTATTCCACCTGAATTAAATCCTAGCTGCAGCTTAAAAAATGTGGATTAAGGTAAAATTTTTCATCTCCAGGCTAAAAAGCAACTATTTGCTAACACTGGCATCAGCCATTTTGGATGCTGATGGTAAAATGTGTATAAAGGTGTGGAGGGTGAGGCTATTCCAGCAATATTCTAAAAATTAAAATAGACAGGAGATCTAAGTGCCACCTCCATCAAACCATATATATTCTGTGGCTACTTTTAGAAAAGCTGCTTATCTGAAAAGTGCTTGAGGTAGCCTGACCAGTTACTGTTTGATTGAGCAAAGCCCTTAAAACAACTTTTAAGTCCACAATTGATTCTGCCCTGTATTTTAAGAGTACATGCTTAAATCTGACTGCAGGTTCATGAAATCATAGAATGGTTCGAGTTGGAAGGGATCTTGCCAACACTCCATAAGCCATTTGTTGACTTATGTAGGATTTCAGCCCATTTTCAGGTTATACATGCTCCAAACACATTCTAGCAAGAAGGGTGGTTTTGTCAATTACAATGTCTTCAGTCCTAGTGGGAAGGATTCATCTGATTCTAACTTTGTCCAAAAAAAAGTTACTCAGGCTCTTGTTATAGTCAAAGAAGAGAGAGGGGGTAATGAAATAATCTGACCCTAAAAAAGAATCATAGAACATTTGGGTTGGAAGACACCATAAAGACCATCTAGTTCCAACCTCCCTGCTATGGGCAGGGCCATTTTCCATTAGTCTAGGTTGCTCCAAGCCCAAAGCTCACCTTGCAAGGGACAACTTCCACTATCCCAGGTTGCTCCAACTGCTGTTCCACCTGGCCTTGAACACTTCCAGGGATGGGGCATTCATAGCTCTCTGGGCAACCTGTGCCAGGGCCTCACCTCCCTCACAGTGAAGAATTTCATCCTAATATATGTAGTATTTTCCTAATATCCATAAAATAGATTAACCCCAGCCTTGGTAGGATGAATCATCAGCCTGGGAGTGACTCCCAGTTCACTGACATTGCAGGAGATGGGATGCCTACTTTCCAAACTACTGGGGCTCAGCTGGATGAATTCCATCCATAGAGGGGCCAAGGCAATAAAAATCCCCCTCACCCTCCATTTGCTGGTTATGGGAAGCCCACACAGAGCTACAGATATTGTGTCCAGACTTGGCCAAACCTGCACACCGTGCACTTTTACCACCTGAATAAGCACATCTCTCAATTGCTGAGCACTGCTTTTTCCTCTCAAGGTGCCTCTCCTTCTCCTCTGAGAAGGAGCACTGTGTGGATTGTGAACAGGCTCACTTGCTGCAAACTCTCTCTCTCCAAAAATGCTAAACAGAGTTGTTTAATTTATTAGTTAAAAGAAGAAGAAGGCAAAAAAAAAAAGCTAATTTTATGTGTTGAAAATAACTAGGACTTTCAATGGAATTAGTGTTACAAAAGCTGAATGTTTTTGGTCCCTGAGGTCAACATTTTCAAAACTGGTAGTTATCTTTAAGAAACAGCTATCTCCCTTGAGCTGGAAACAGTTTCTTGGTGACCTTTACTTTTAATATGATATCCCTAAAGAGGTCATAGCAGGAGAAATCCTCCTTCTGTATGGCTTTGCTGGAATGAAGCCATCGAAGAGTCGGAGGATATAAAGGATCCTTTGGCCAATGCAAAAGTATAGAGCTTTTGTGCAGATGGTCCTGGCTTCCAACTGGTCCCTCCAGATCCACTGAGCCAATCCAACAATTAGAGGAAAATATTCAGAAAGCAGAGCCTCACAGACTTTCTCTCACCCATCTGCTCCTACAGACTCTGCAACAGGAGGAAATCTGGCTTGGGTAGTGGAAGAAGGGCGGAATGGATAGAGCAGAGCTCAGGAAGGGCCAGAAGTTCAACCCAAAATGCAACCAAACTGTGAGAGAACTTGGACAGCACTGGGAAAAAGATATACATTGGAAAAATAGAAAAAGTCCCAGCTGCAGAGGGCTTAGGGACCTGAAAGAGAAGGAAAAATCCATGGTTTCTGCTCCTGTATAACTTCAGAAAGTAAAATACTCTGTCTATTCAATGAAATTAGGAGAAGGCCTTTGTTTTTTTTATGAGTACTGTACATGTTTTATTTCTTGAATGGCCACACATACAAAAATATTGATATATGAACCAATATTTGTTCCTGCCAAAACATTTGACATTAATGGATTGTAGAAAATTTTCCTAGACTGTACATTGTTTAAATAGTGAAAACACTGAAATATTTTCTACAATCATCCTAGCAATAGTAAACTTCCTTTTACACTATCTGTAGGGTAATTCCCAAGCTCTTAAACAGGCAGGTTAGCTTAAATAACTGCAGCTTTTAGGACCTGCTCCAGTGCCAGCCAAATTCAATACAAACATTCAAGCAACATCAATCTCCTTTGAACTAAGCTTCCCATGCAATTTGTATGTATTTGAAGGAGGAATTTTTGCTTGCTCGAAAGGTTGCTGATGTTTAATGTAGCTTACATTGTCTTTTAAAGTAAGACAATCAAACCACATAATGTAATTCATCTACATTATTAGCCTTCCCCAAAGACAAAGTGCAGGCTAGGCACTGAGGCTGGAGAGAAAACACATGAGAGGAAAAACATGAGAGGAAACACTGTCTTTAAATTAGCATTGGCATTAGAAGATATCAGAGAAGGGGAGCAAAAGTGAGGAAGTGCTCACTATGAAATACACTCGTAAGGATGCATGTCCTTGCATGTTTTATACAGGACAATGAAGCAGACTTTGGCAAGGTAGAATTAGTGCCTGTAATCAAGACCAGGGGATTACTGTAATACCAAAGGCACCACTGCCAGCTCTCCCAACTTTATTACCAGTATCAAAATATTACATTGTTTTCTTTGGCTTGACTCATGAAGTAGAATGATTTAGTGAAAATCTCGCTTTTCTATAGAAATGAGATAGAACTAAACTGCAGAATTAGGCATGGAACCTTAAAGCTTGGAAAGCTAAATGGCAAGCTACAGCTTTTTGTCTCTCAAATTTCAGGATCTTAAATTTTCATTAAACCAGTTTTGTGATTTGCTTGGACTTCACACAATGCTGAATGTAAAGCAGGGTCAGTTGGCTGCTACAGCAAGAACTTTTAGACCTGGTGCTGAGTGTTTAATATCTGTACGTTAGAGAGTGCTTGAGAAAAATCCCCATTTTTCTTTGGACTGTATTTCCAACTTACAAACAAACAAATACACAAACAAACAAGCAAACTCCAATACTCTTAAATGACAAACACCTAAAAAATCCACTCCTTTCACCAAAATCAAAGAACCACTGCTTTTGCAACGTGAGAACTACTTTAACCAGTCTGAGGCATGGTATTAGGGGAAGGGAATTTAAAACTGCACACTGAAGAGCAGTATCTTTGCTCTGCTAGCAAAGAAAATTGCTTTGATTTAAGAAATAATATACTGAGCATAGCAAATAACTCTTCACATGTGCAGTGGGGTGCGTGCTGTGCCCCCTCTGTTCTCTGCAGAGACAACACAAGCTGTAGCAGCACAAATAAACACTTGCAGATCCAAAGGGCCCTAATTTTGTACAAGGGGGAAGCTATATCAGAAGTCCTAATGTAGCAAACCGTGACTTCATCAAGATTTAAGCACAAAAGAGACGTTAGAGCCCTGACATGGAAGTAAGAGTGGAATTTCAATGGCTCATGTGGCTTTTGATCAAACTTTTAGTGTCTGAATTACGTGGTAAGCACACCCATCGACTTCAAGGATAAAAGTTGCACCCCTCAAACACAAAGTTCAAAGAACTTGAAAGCTGCAATGACGGATCTTCTTTAGCACCTCACTCAATTGTGTCTGGATTTTATTCCTCACTTTGAAATGTTATATTAATAGGCAAACTACATGCAATATGGAATTACATATTAGATTCTTTTTTGTGAAATCAACCTGTACAGCTTAAGTTAAAAAACCCTAGGCCTTCACAAATGTTCAAAGATAGCTTCAGCTAGTAATGCAAGCTCTTGCTGCAGACACAGGAGTACTTTCTTTTCCTTTCACGAAACATTATATACAAATTGTTAATACCAGGTGCACTGCATGACAGAGTACTGCCTGATTTCCAAGGAGAGGACATGAGCTCTCGGTTCTAACAATGACATAGTGCTTAGTCTTTGGCACTTTCATGTAGAGATGCAGCTTGGAGAACAATTTTGTATCATTAATTTTACCTTGAACATAAAGATTTACGAGTCACATGTTTTGGGGAAAGGAGTAAACTTCAAGCTGTTTTGATAACATAAATATAAGATATAAAATACATTTTTTTTCCATGAGAGGCAGTCAGTCATAAAATTATCCCATAGATGAGTGCATTAGCAATCTAATTTGCAGTTGAAAAAAGTATATCCCTCGAGTAACAATGATGTGCCACTATGATTTCTTAAGATTACTTTTTCTCAGCCTCAAGACCATATGATTTTCAGAGAATAAATCACATCTTGGATTGAAAGCCCATCCTGGAAATACTTGACTAAAATCCTTAGTTTCAACAGTTCTTGAAAACAAACCTGAATCTACACTAACAGTGAGAAATAGGCAACAAAAACTTCTAAGGTGCACATAATGCGATGGATATCACATTATGTTTCCTCAGTGTTCCAATTCTTTCATTTTTGTAGATCTAACCAAATATGAAAACATTAAAACACAATCTTTGAGCTCAAAACCACTTCCAAAATTCCCCAAGTATAAAACTGTTGCTGAAGCACTCTGTTCTGTTTATCATATTAAGATACATTATTTTGATGGAAAAAACGCTAGATTGCAAGAGTAACATAATAGAACCAGCAAGCACTGCCAGCAGGTCTGAGGAAGAGAGAATAATTCAGAGATATTGTCATCTGTAGGCCAATTTATATTGTCAGACAGCAGGTTCACATTATTCTCTGATGTCACTGCAATAATGGCATAATATAACGATTGAGCAAAGAATACCTGTGGGGTATAGCTATACAGTGTGGTATATATATACTTGTTAAAGTATTTCAGGCTTCCTTCAAAGCACAACCAGAAGCAGCAAAAGACCAGGATTAAAAAAAGAATGAGAAATGGTGCTCATAAAGACTTCTGAATATTTTAGCCCTTGTTTTGTGATGATGAAGCAAGTGTAATGTTGTATTTCATTGATTCAGCGGGCTCATGATTAAAATAAACTAATGTAGCAATTTAGGGGTTTTGTGATTCTTTCTTTTTTTTTCCCTGTAACAAGAAGAAAAAAAAGCTTTTTAACAGTTCCTCACGGCAGGCATAATGTGCATCTGTGCTCTGATTTACTGCACATGCTGCCTTCTCTAGCATCATGTTAAGTTAGGATATCAGCATGGTAGGTCACACAGTGGGAATGACCTTTTGCTAATCACTACACATCAGTTACTACTGGCACACAGCTCATTACTAAGAAACCCTCCAACTAGCTGGCTTTCAAATCTGCTCGCACTTTGATTCTTTTTTCCCCTTTTCTTTCTTTCTTTTTTTCCTCCAGACTGAAGATTATACTTTTACATAAAATCTCTGTTGTGTAATTTTGCCAACTAGGGTTCCAAAGTCAAAAAGGCACCCAGTTAATTTTCTGTGATTATAAAAGGAGCCTGAAAATTCATACTGAAGGTAGGCCTGTAATCTTGGGTTTCATTAAAAAGGTCAGAACATTTTTCCTCACCACATATTATTAAAATGTTTGAGGGCTGCCATTAATTTGATTTTTCAGGACATAGAAATCTCACTGGAAATTAGAATGTAATCCTGCTGTTGCTTTCCTGACACTTTTCATAGGGCAGGATACGGCTGCAGGGACTAAGAGCTCTCCTGCAATTTACAATTGGTTACTTTGGCCAAATGGCAGGTGACTAATGCAAGACAAACTGTTTGCACAACCTGGGAGCTCTGGGTTTAATTTCAGTTCTGAAAGAGGGGTGAAAGTGTTTCTATTGACGCTGAACCATGAGCTGTCCCCTGCCAATACATCTGCCACATTTAATACACAACACACCCCCCACCCCCTGACAATGTGATTATTAGAGGTACAGAATTCAATAGCTTAAGAACACAAAACATAGCAGGAGCAAAATGAAAGGGTTTTTAACTCACCGGCCATTTGCTGAATGCCGCTGAAGGCACCCAAGTTACTGGAGGAAGTTGCTTGCTGCAGGAGCTGCAAATGAACAACACAGCACAGCAATCTTTCTGACAGTAATGCAACAAATGAAGATAAAGCTAAAATGAGCTATCATTTCACATTTGGAGTATTTCTGCTTTTCTTTACATTTATATAGTCTCTTGCTTCTGTCTGCTGTTGGAATGAACATCCCTAGAGTCAATGCTGTAAATCCATATTAATGTCTAATCTCTATTAAGAAACACAGAGACACAAGGGAAACTCAATAACATGGCTGCTTTAAAACAATTAATCAATTTATTCTTTTTAACAACCAGGTGTTAAATCTATTTAAACCAACATAGTGTGACTAATTACAACCCTCTGTAGTCTAGTAGTTACCATAACTCATCTCTGTCAATCATGGTCCATTCTTCCCCACCCCCGTGAATTCAGTTTTTTCTTTATTATCTTTATGAATCAAGCACACAGATATTCATTAGACTGGGATTTGTACATATAGCAACTTAGCCAGCTCAGCATTAATTAGCCAACCTCAGTACTAATACATATTTTTAATTGCCGAGTAAATTGCTGTTTCTATTACTATATCAAAATATTGTATGCACACAAATGATGTATTTATACATACACAATGCATATATATAGGCACATCCATTTAATAGAATCATAGAATGGTTTGGTTTCATAGAATCATAAAATGGAAGGGACCTCCACTTCCAACTGCCCTGTCACAGGCATGGACACCTTCCACTAGATCAGGTTGCTGAGAGCCCCATCCAGCTTGGCCTTGAACACTTCCAGGGGTGGGGCAGCCTCAGTTTCCCTGGATAACCTGTGCTACTCTCTCACCACCCTCACAGGAAACAATTTCTTCTGAGTATCTCATCTAAACCTGCCCTCTCTCAGTTTAAAATCATTACCCCTTGTCCCATCACTAAATGCCCCTATACCCTCTCTAGCTTTGTTTGAGGCCCCCTTCAGGTATGGAAAACTCAAAGGTCCCAGAGGCTTCTCTTCTCCAGGCTGAACAGCCCTGACTCTTTCAGCCCTCCCTCCACAGCAGAAGTGCTTTAACCCTCTGATCACCTTTGTGGCCTCCTTTGGATTTACTCCAACAGGTCTGTATCTTTCCTGTACTGGGGGCTCCAGAGCTGGGTGCACTGCAGGGGGGGTCTCACCAGAGCAGAGCAGAGGGGCAGAACCCCCTGCCTTGATCTGCTGCCCACGGTGCTGGGAATACAGCCCAGGACATGTTTGGCTTTCTGGACTGGAAGTGCACATTGACAGGTTGTGTTAAGCTGCTCATCCACCAACACTTCCAATCCATCTTTTGATCCATGCTTTTGTGCTTGGGATTGCCCTGATCCAGGGTCAGGACCTTTTAACAACCCCAATCCATCTTTTGATCCATGCTTTTGTGCTTGGGATTGCCCTGATCCTTTTAACAACTAGGTTTTATTTGTCTTGAGGAACCCCCAAGTTATCTAAAAGATCCTCAACCAGACCTCCCAACTCCAAAGGCACAAAGGCAGAGGCTGCCTCTCAGCTGTGATGAAGGGAGACCTCTCTTGGCCATCCAGAACCAAAGATACATGGCTGTGGATTTCAGATTTTCCAGCAGGGACAGCACCTGTTTCTCATCTTACAAATGGACTAAGGAAAAGGCCATTTTAAATTGATGGCTTTTCCTGGCCACATTCACTTTCTGTATAAGGGATACGAACCATGCATGTTTAGCACTGGCAGGACCATGCATTAAAGCAAAAGCCATTTCCAAATGAAAATGTGGAAATTTGATGATTGAACCACAACATTCTAGTTTAGAGGCTGCACCATATGGATATGGCCTCCACAGTGTTCAGCTGCCTATCTGTCCTCACCTAAGGAAGAACTTAAATTTTATTCCAGCTATAAAAAAACAGACTCTAGCATTCAAAACCCCCAAAAGTAATGGAATAAAATTTTATTTACATTGTTGGGGTTGGAAATAGGCAATCTTTAAGGTCCCTTCCAACCCAAGCCTTTCTATTAATCTATTAATTGTTTTGCAGATAAACACAGCCAGAAGAAGACACACTGTGTATCCTGGACAATTTAGCAATTTACTGCAGGAAGTTTAGGAGAACTGATTTACCATGGTCCTAAAATAAATAGAGTATAATACAACCATTGCCTCTGAAGTGAACTTACAGCTAGATATTGTGGTGTGAGTCCTCCAAGACCTGTGAGGTTTCCCCAAGTGGCAGTATTGAGCTGTTGCATCTGCTGAGCCAACTGCTGCTGCAAACGCCGCTGCTCCTTGTCCTTTTGGGTGTCAGCAAACTTCACCACGATTGGCGAAGAGCAGCCCTGTGGTTGGATAGATCAGGAAAGACAGAAGGGTTAAATCACACCAGGTCATGCTCACCTCATGAGCTCAGCCATGTCCTGTAGGGCCACTGGCACTGGCACAACCAGATCGTTCACCCTCTCTTTGTGACTGGCACGTGTAGGACTGCAAGCACTAAGGTTTTCAGGTTCTTACGAAAAGAGGCTATGGAGAAATTATTGATTCCCCCGCTCTTTTTATAAAGCACCTTTCCTCAGGCTCTCTTTTCCTTCTAGCTATCAAAATTGCTGCCAGAGACAGCAAAGTGTACCAGTCCTCTTTAATTAAGCTTCACAGCTGATGAGATGGACGTGATGCTTTGTCTGCAGTCTGTTTCCGAGGCAGCGCCAAAGGGAGAGGTGTCCAATCTCCATGCTGCCAGGGACCACACAGCCAACAGCGCCCTGCCACCACGGTCTGGCTGTGCCATCAGGCTCAGTGCAGCTGGTGTGTGCACCCTGAAGAGCCTGGGAGCAGCAGATTTACCTCAGCACCCATTTACATCAGTGAGGCACTGGCCCTGCTCACACCAAGGACCCCCGGTCAGTTCACCCACCTGCGGTCCGCTCCCGGGCACGCTTTGTATCAAGCACCCTTGAGATGTGAACAAAGGGCAGGATGCAGACCAAAAGGGACTAGTTCTGGTGATAGCAGCCCATTCCTGATTGACACCACTTCTTCTATTGCTTCTATCAGCTTCTTGTTACATGGTATGGCAAGGCTGTAAGATGCCTTAGGGAATAGGGAAGCTGTAAGAAAGAGCTAGAGGTCTGGTCTGCAGCCTATTCCTCACCCTTGGGAGGGCTGAGGGACCCTTGGGAAGAAGCTGGAGGACACAGACCAAATGGACTTTTGAGGTAAACTGAATTTCCCTTGGACTTCGAATTGGGCACTCCTGGGCAAAGACACTGAGACAATGAGATGTGATTATGAAAGATGTCTCTGTTGATTTCTCTCTGTTTTTTTCTCTGCTATGAGATGTTTCACATTTTAACCTTTCAAGTCTTAATTTTTTTCAGATCAAGTAAGCAAGCTATATACTGCAATGATTCAGTTCTTCAAATTAATTCAAGCATTTTATGAGTCATCAAATCTGTCAATCCATTTCATACTGACTTTCAACTTCACAGCATCCAATGAATAACTTCCCTTGCCATGCGTTGTTATACTAATTTCTTGTCTAACTTCAATGTGAACACAATGACAGGAGTGATAAGTGACTCAAGTCCAAGAAACACAGCAGTGCTTTAGCCAAAGTGTATAGCGTGGGATGCAGAGCAGGGCTCCACTTCACCTACTCTTCCCATGGCTGCTCTCACAACATTGTGAACATCTTCAGAAACATCTTCAGATGTTCAGGAAACATCTTCCTCAATTAATTACAAAAAGCAGCCATGTACCTTTTCTCTGAAAAACCTCACACCAGGACAAGTGATAAAAAATATTCCAAATCATCAGATAAAATGATGAAATAAACGGCAATAATTATTATTATTATAATAATAACAATAATAATAATAAACGATCTCATATAAAGATTCCCCATCAATGCTGTTCCTTTAAAATTATCTTAGAAAATCATCACTTGTGGTATATTATTCCACCTCCAATTCTTTTCCTGTGTGTTTCATTGTAAAAATGTCTTTTAGTGTTTCTGTGAGATAGAAAGGAGATCCATAACACTCCAGCAATCAAATAAAGATTATGAAGGAGTCGGCTTGTTACACAATTACCTCTCTCTAGTGATTTTTATACTAATATTAAAAATAAGATCATTTAGAAAAAAAAGAAGAAAGAAAAAGGAGCCAGGGGGTAGACAATGTGAGAGAGATTTTTCTGGTTTTGCTAATAAAAAAAAAGCAAGCTGTTTCTATCTTATATGAGATACAAGTAACATTATTGGCAACACTGGGCTAAGAACAACTGGAAATTACTGCCTTCTGACTGGATGTACCGGAGAATCAAGTATATTTACAAAGAAATAGAAATGAGTATCAAAGGAAGAAATATTATATGGTTATTTTGGTTTTCAGTTTGGTAGTTCAGCATTCAACATTACAGCTGACATATTTATGAATGCTTAAATGTCAGTAAATTGTATAAAAACAATATCTCTGCAATTTATGAATCTATAATTCATTTTTTCACTGTATGCTCTATATTTCATCACTTCATCATTTTCAAGAAAGCAAACATTCTGAAGACTGAGATTATATCTAGCAAGTGGCTCTATATGAGAAAAGGATTGTTATTGTTGTATCAAATTTATTCCATGATAACAAATTAGTGTTTTCTACTGGTGCTGCATTTGAATGACTTAAACAAACAAACAGAAAAGAAATAGAAGAGCAAACACTTTAGAGCAGCAATTATATTTTAAAAATCAGTTGATTTCACCAAGTCAGTAAGTCAGGAGGAAAGAGCAGTAAGAGAATGCATTATTCTATGAGATGTGTTCATCTGGACTCAACAATCCCATTGTTCTTTCTTAGCCCTCTTTGAAAATTCATCTTGGTCAATGATATGTGCTAAGGAACTGAAAATAATAAAAAAGGAAAAAAATCTGTAGTAGTCGGGTTGAAATGCAATTGTGTACTGCATATCTTCCCCTAAGCCCACTTTTGTTTGCAAAATAGTATGAGACCAAAGTGTCCAAGATGTCTGTTTCAGGCTGAGGTTTGACATGTAACACTAGTCAACCCAATTTAACTTTTCACTAGAAGAGTATTGGCAAAAGTGAGCAAATTTTTTTTTTTGCCTACAGGGTGATTCTTGTTTTATGCACTTCTATTTCCTAGCTTGAGGGGAAGCTTCCAGCACAAACACAAGGTGCATCTCCCTTCCTCATTCAATGGCTTCATATTTCCATGCCACTCAGTGCCATTTTCTTCCCAACAGCTGGTGCTGCCTTCATATTTTCCTGTTGTCAGGTTGAGTCCCTCCTCCACAGAGAGGGAGGGTACATGGCTTCTTTCCAAGATGGGCCTCAGCCTAAGCCCAAATGATGCAAAGACCCAGATGTTCAAAGGGAAAAATATTTGGAATTGCCTTGCCAATTTGGGGATGTCATTGATGATGTCTCTAAAAGTCTTGAGAAGGATTTTGAAACAAGAGTAACTATTCTACAGAACTAATCACATTAAGAGCATTCTGTCAAAATGCAGCCCCTTTTGGAGTGCTGCATACAACAGGGGACTGGGAGAATTTGTCTGGGAGGTGTTATGTCTTTATTTTACCATCTTCGGAAGTAGAGCTGTGTAAAATTCATTTTGCTAGATGGAAAAATGCATTAAAACACGTGGAAAATATAGGTAAAACACAGTATTACCAATAAACATTTTCTTTTTACTTGGACTCAAACCCAGCAAACATATAGATCTGAATTAATGGTGCAGTGCACGGCAGACAAATTACTACAGGTATTATTGCAGAGACTTAAAGTGGCAGTTTTTTCACAATATACTATCAGACTGCATAGACTGTATAACAGCAGCTTTCTAGTAAAGATAATTTCATTTGTTCTCATCTCATTGGCAGATTCTCAACTAAAACTGTATACCCAGGGTCTAAAAATGCATTGCACTGAAAAGAAAACACATTGATTATAAAAGAAGCTCAACCAAATTCAAACGTGATGTTTGGAAAGACAACAGCTTTGCAATGCTGATATCATTACTTGTACTATACAGGAAACAGTTAGTGACATTTTCATGCACTGCCTTGAATTTTATCTTCTCCTCCTCCTCGTCCTCTGTCCACCCTCCCACCCCTGGTGTCCCCCCTTGGCTCGGTACACAAAGCAGCTCAACAACATGACGCAATAATGATTGTTCAGCACCCAGCATGCTTTGGGAGACTAGAGCATTGCAAAGGAAAATCACTGAGAGAAAAAAATAAAAAATTGAAAGGTCCTGGTGGAAAAAGAAATAAATAAAAAAAAAAAAGAAACAAGTGCACATAACATCAATGCCACCTCTGAGAAAAATCATCACTACACGAAGATACAGTATACATAATACAGTATAACATGCACTCTCCAATGATAAGCTAGAAGATCCAGAGTAAGTAAAGATTTCATACTTGTGCGGTTTTTTGTGCAAAATTCTGAAAGACCATGACAAAAATCACAGACTGAAAAAAGTTTTGAGATTGCCAGACAAGCTGTGGCATTCAATAACCACTCCAATGACCAGATCGTTAGCCAGCAGCTGAAGTCACGTTGAGTGAACTGGTTTAAAGTTTTGAGCTGCTCATCATTATAAAATATGAAGCCATAGAGGCAGTTTGGAAGGGAATGAAGAGTGTTGCTTGTGAGGGGCCAGCCACGATGGTGCTCTGCAGGAAGTGCCACACTCCGATATGCTCTGTCATCATTAGCATTTTTATTGGCTACATGAAGAAGGCAAAATAATATTAACTTAAAAAGAGATTTTATTTGCAGAAAAACACATGCACTAGTAACTCAGTGTGGCCATGTTAAATCTCTTGAGCTTTTTCTCAGAGCAGTGCAAACCACGACACTTAGAAATCTATTTAAAAGAAACTAAGATTTTTCTTAGGGGGAATGCGTGTTAAAAATAGAGGTAATTTACTCATCAGAGATACTTTGAGTACGACTAAGGAGTGATATTCACAGCATTTTTATTTTCTGCTGAATGCCACTGAAAACAGGATTGAGAGCTGTGTTTGGATACCACACAGCAGCCTTATTGTGCTCTTTTAGGTGATTGAGAAAAATAAAGCTTCACAAAGACAGGTAGAGTGAGCTGGTAAAAAATTTAAATCTGTGATTGTCATGTGTCTGATCTGATCCAGGAGAGCATGGCTTTACCATTCGCAATCATTTGCACAAAGAAAACAAAGAAAGGGCAAATGATACAGTACTGTACCTCCATGGTCTGAGACTGGTGCATGGCTTTGATTGCATTCTGTGCCATTGCCCTTGTAGAAAATGTGACAAACGCACAGCCTGTGGGAACAAGGGGACAGGGAGCAGGAAAGACAAAAAACAACAAGACAAAAGGGTTGGACGCTTGTTAAACCAACACAGTCTACGAGAACGGCCACAAGACGACACTGTTCTCAGTAGTACATAAAAATAAACAACTTCTCTAGTTTATTTATTGACAGTGCTGACTTGCTAATCTGACCATAGATGAAAGAAAAAAAATTAGGTGGAGATGGGTGACAAGAAGGGGCTTTATTGAATTTTTTGTTTGCTTTGTTTTGTTTTTCTTTTTTTAAATTTGTTTGTTCTGTTTTGTTACTGTTTTTGTTCTTTAGCCACAGGGTTTGAAATAAATAAGGCTTTTATGTAGCCTTTGGATTGCATAGTTAAATCTATTCAGACCATGCATTAACAATTGCTTGCTCTAGCTTTTGTGTAGGTAAACTGTGGATAGTGAATAAATGTCGGCATCACTGACAGCTGAACTGAGAATTTAATAAAGGGGTCCATAACATCACAAATTACTGTGATGCACCAAGAAGTATCATACAAATAAGAATGAGAAAAAAACCACTGTGTATTCTGTGACTATTTGTGAAAAGACTCAGACAAAATTCAGTAATGTAGGTGGAATCTCAACATTTAAGAAAATAACATTTAAAAAATAAAAATCCTTATGGTATTTGTTTCTCTGAGTTCTAGGTACAAGTATAATTCTTTGATCCATGAAAGCTACTGCCAGCTTGAACAATTCTGAAGCTATGTGCATGAATAACTGAAAAAATAACTTTTTTTTTTCCTTCTTCAGCCTTTAAAATCATAATGAAAAGCCAGTAGGCTAATGCCTGGACTATTTTTCCACCCTTTTACTATTGTCAGCCATACCTGCACTGGGCATGGTGCAGGTCAACGTTTTCAGTGCATGACTCACTGCCCTTTTGGCTAATAAAAACATTGCCTCCTGAGATTTACATTTTATTCTTCATGCACCCTTGGGCATCTTAAAGAAAAAGACTGTGAAATTAATGCAGATTCAGGCTGATTTTGTAATAATACCATGGCACACTAAAAGCTTAGCTAAAGCAACACAGACTTATTTCACTTGTGATCTCTAATGACTTTAAAAGTGCATTGATTTTCAGCTCCCTTAGCCTTGCACAGTTTGAACTTAGGTTTCAGAGAATAATTTAGTGTTCCACTCAATTTCCTCAAAACATTATTATTATTACTACTTAAAAGATTTCCAAATGAAGCAGATCTAAGCACTGAGAGGCTAAAGCATATTGTCATTTTAGAGCTAATGCATGAAAGCTACATTCTGGCATCAAAAATACAATATTGTTGCCCCTGTGGCCAATGGGCAAAATAAACCATTTTGCAATCCAGCAAGCAACAGATTGTTTGGTTTATGCAAATCAATTTGGGGCATAGAATACCTTTTCTTTTTAGCTCTGTGTGTACCTGGTAAGATTATCAAGTCAAGACTGTATTCACATTTTAATCAAACAACAGTAAGAGAAAGCAATGCCTGATCATTACCCAAAAGCACTACATCTAGTCATGAAAATAAAGTCAATGCATTTTTGCATCATGCGGTATTTTTTTCTCTCTTTAATGTAAAGGCCCTTGATTCAAAATAACCTAAGCTGGCTTATGTAGCTCTGACTGAAAGATGAGCATCATAAAATCAGAAATAAATTTTTTTTTACCCAAACTTCACCACAGCATTGTGACTTTCTGTATTTCTTAGGTAACAAAACAGCTCATGATGTCTCACTACTCTTTAGCCACACTACATAATGCTATACTAGTCTTGTTCAGCAACATATTTCTGTCAAAGAATATGATGTAACAAACCAGCTTTTTGTACAACAATCTAGACAAAATGTGCAGTAGAAGGGTAAATAATCTACAGTACTTTTCCTATATTCCATATTGCTGCTGTGCACTAAAATTAAAGAGGCCCAAATTTACCATCAGTCTCAAAGTAATCTCTCTTAATGCCATTTCTGTTATTAGCATTATTCTTTTCTTGTCTTGCAAATTCAGTGGGGGACGAGCACAAATAGAGATATACTGGAGGGCAGGCAAGGAACCCCATGCAGAGCCTTGAATAATATTGTTGATAATGGTCAAGAAACTGCTTCATTCACTTCTTTGGTTCTCGCTGTCCAGGAGTGTGTACTATAGTGACAATTACTGAATGAAGGTTTCAAATACATGAGAAGCATGTAAAATGTCAACAAAAATCAGTAAGACACAGTTTATGCATTTATCACAATTTCTCCCCAGCAGTTCTGCTGTAACTTACTGAGAGATGTTGCAATTAGCAGGTCTCAAAAGAAATGTGAATCAGCAGAGAAATAAGGCTGCATTCCTCTCAAGATAAAGCAGACTGCCCCTTCCCTCCCTTAAGCTTTCTCCCTCTTTAACCACAGGGCTCAGCTGCTTGTTGCTTTCAGTGCCCAACACCACTGCAAAGCCTTCCTCCTCACTCCTCAGCCCAAAACCATTTGCATGGGTCTCGTTGCCTTTGTCATGGCGCAAAAGGACCTTTGTAGCAGATCTCTGTACCAATTTGAAAGAAACTTGTTCTTTGGGCAAGGGGAATGCCTGATGAATGAGGTTATGCAGCTTGAATATGAGCATTTGGAAGCAGCATTCCACAGAGAGGATGGGGCTGCATTTTAATTAGGGTTTGCCAGCCAGAGGCTACAAGGTTAAGTCCCCTTGTTATCTCCATTCAGCAGGCTATTTCCCACCGATAGACAGTGGCCATTTCCACAGTAAATTTCCAATTTACCTCAATAACATGGCCAAAATTCAGTAGACAATGTTATTTCTAAATTATTTGAGAGGTTAAGAGGTTGCCATCAAGTGCCCCAGTTAAACATTTGTTAATTTAACCATCCTTCCAGACATTCACATTCAAGGGTTATTTTTCAGCTACCAAAGCTGGACACTTCACACAAAACATTTGTATATTTATTATGTGTGCATATATATTTTATTGTGCATGGAATATGGGATCATATATATTTTATTACGTGTGAACTGTGGACTCCTTTCCTTCATGACCAGATTGCCACACTGGATGGTAGCTTAGCCTATGTCATAGGATTTGGTCTGTTTAACTCAATCACTTTGCATTTATATTTTAGATGTTCAGAAAAAGCTGTTCTGAAATGCTTGTATTTACTGTCATGGTCAATGGCAGGACCTTGATTGTCCTCTGTGGGGCACATATGCATTGAAGGAAGATGGTTTAGTTGAGCATCTAGAATTTAATCAGAAGCTGGTGTCCAAGGACACTGGAATTCATTTTTTTATGTTTCTGAAGGGTTGGGAAAAGCCTTTCCAGCACTCTCTCCCTCACTGTGTCACATGGGTGCAGGTGGTCTTCTGGGAACACACTGCCAGCTTTAGGACCATAAATCACAATTAGAAGAGGACAGGAGTAATCAGATTTCATGCCTTGTGGTGCAAGGAAACAAGAAAGATTTCCATGGCCTCTTACCTCATCCTATGAAACATGGCATTGATTGGCGTGCCACGGAACGAGGTCTTCCCAACCCACAGCTACGAGCAAACTATTTCTGTTCTACCCCACCAAGTCCTGATATTCAATTATTCCCTTCTTACTTGAGCTGTGGAGCTCTCTGGGAGGGAAAATATGGAGAGGGGGATATTTCTATAGCTAATGGCTTGAAATAACTTCAGTTTGTACAACCAGCTACACCAAAAAATAGATTGTTTTGTAAAAACAGCCAGCTTACAGGAACCTTGCACTTATTTATCAGCTCTGGTTTCAAAATGTCAGGAATCACTGACAGAAGGAAAAGAGGAGGGAGAGAGAAGATCTAAGAATTTTAGCTGCTTCTCCAAGGCTGCCTTCTCACCCCCTACAGCAGATAAATGAGTGACTGGGAAAGGGCTGCTGGAAATAATTTCCTTCTGCAGGTGGAATTGGAGTAAGGCGCCCAGCCCTGGCATGAGAGAAATTTTTGAGCCCATTATCACATCTGCCACATTGGCTGAGAGAACATCTAAACTCACAGGGTTACTCCTTACCCCTCTCCCACCACAAACTGAAAGAGAATTCTGAAAAAGCAGTCAAATGTGATAGGCCTCCTCCTTTATCCTGGCCATCCCAAACCTAGGGCTTGCTGCTTGAGTGACTGAATATTTGAAATATTTTAAAAAGCTCAGCTCTGCCCCATTTCAGCTCCTGCTTCCTGTGATTCTTTTCATCTCTGGTTTTTCTAGAAGTGTTGAGAAACATTCAGTCAGGAGTTCTTGCACAGCCTAACACAACATAACACCCGCAAGCTGCAAGTGAAGGAGAACATTTTTACATATGGGAGCTTCAGGTAAGGTTCATACCTACACAAGAAACCTCCCTCATGAAACCACCATGGTCTACCAAAGGTTTTAAAATGAAGCCAAAGGGAGATGCAAAATGCAGAGACATTGTTTGGAAGTCTAAAACCAGGGTTTTGACACAGAAGGAGACCCAAGAGATTTTCAAAGCCACCCAAGCAAGTGCAGTGCTGCGAGTGCTGGCTGAGCAGCTGGTGCTGTAATGGTTGTACCACAGCTTCCCAGTAACCTGTAAACAAGTTTTTCTTCAATTTCTGTAAAGAAACAAAAGTGAAAAGCTGCCAAATACTCCTGCAAGGAGTAGTTGGGATCCTCTGAGATGAAAGCTTCTATTTAAGGAAAAGATAAGGCTTGAATAAAAAGCTATGGAAATTGAAGTGTGATAAAAATAAGCTCTAGTTGGGTTAAAATGTTTCTAGCTGAGATTGCAAAGTAGACTTTTCCTTTTCCTTTCCTGTGCTAATACAGCCCAGTCTGAAGGAAAGAGCATCCTGGAAAACAGCCTTCTAATGAAGACATCACACAAAAATCTGTCTTGGTGGATAAAATACATTTCATCTGCAAACTAAATTGTACATCAAATTGTTTACCGTAGTGATATCTCGTTGTTAAATATTACCTAAGACACACAATGACAGGTC